AGAATTATGGACTTGCTTTCATTCTGAGATACAACTTACAAGATATCAGAGCTCTTATCTTAAAACATGCTTCAGTTTTTCAAAGGTGTGTGTGGAGATTAAACTCCTGAATTGCAAGAGAGACCAGAGTGTTATGGCCTCAAGGAAATGTCTACACTATTCGACATATTGTTTGAAAATCCCAGTCTGTGCTTTGCTCCATGAGTGAGCACTTCAGTGCCCTGGAAAACAACCCAGTATGCCTTATTTTCCCCATCCGTGAATGGACAATATTGTCCATATGTTTTTGCAAAGAATCTGGGGAATATATACACTGTATATTTTGCACATCATTATAGTAGCACTTGGATAGCCACCAATTTGTGTCTTTCCTTTGACTTCAATGAATATTAGACCAAACTCTTACTAGGAGAATAAAAGCACAGATTTAGTTTTCAGTCATCTAAAATTTTGATTTCTAAATAATTGTGTTTATAATACATGCAACGCCCAGGATGACTTCACGTCCCACTACAAGGGCCTCTTCCACTATATGAAAAATTACCAAACCCTTGTTCCAGTCTGCATGCACAAAAGCTGGAACCCAGCTTCAATCTCTAGGCATGCGTGTTCCTGCTCCTGTAGCACAATTTTCTGCTCCTTGCCAAACCTGCAGCCTAAACCATAGCCCCTGTTCAGGTCCCATCCTCCTAGTACAACACCTGCAAGAGAAAGGTCCCTGGCAAGGTGTCTGCAGGAGGGAGTTCCACTGGATATAGACTTCCCTGGAGCTCAGGATCTTCTGCTATTCTTGGTGGCTGTGAGGACACGGAAGAGATGACTGAAATGAGAGCTCTGTTCCCAACATGGGAGCCAGGTTTTGGGGCAGGGCTGTTACCACGAGGTGGATCTGCTGATCCACTGGGCAAGGGCCAGCTCCTGCTCTGCTGGGGCCGCCTCACCTCTGTGGGGCTGTGCCCATGACACAAAACTTCAGGTGAAACTGAGTGATAATAAAATAAACATCTTTATTTTTAATAGATGGACAAAACAGACCCAAAACCAGGCAGTATTTTCCTGAATTTCATGGGCACTGTTGAATACAATACAAATGAAGTTAAAACATATATATCTATATTATGCTTCATATCTGCTTCGTTAGGTACAGTCTTAATATAACATTTCTGACACAGACAAAAATATACTTTTTTTTTTAACAACAGCCACAAATACTGTCCTGATTAATAGCAGAATTACAATAACATACTGTCTAACTGGACATGGTACTTGATCAAATACACTTGAAGGGCAGAAGGAAAAATGAATAGCAGTTTTTTTCCCTATGATACTTATATTTGAAATCCTAAATTGTTGTACTATATGAAAATAAAAGACTAGATCTTTGCTTTACTTTATTTGATCCACTTAATGTTTACATTCAGTTCAGGTTCACAAAAGTATGTTTTATTTATAATATATATAACATCCCATATGGACAAATATAGATGGAATCGTAACTTTTTTTGACATCTCAGCTATGTTACTAACCTTGATTTTATGAACACATCTCATGCAAAGGAGGTAAAAAAATCTTGTCAAATAAGTGCTATTCACAAATGTTTAGAATATGTTAAGTAAAATGTATGATTGTGATATGAATATTTTATTGAGAAATTATAGGCTCAGAAACAACCTCAGTGTCTGAAAATGAGCTGTTTGCTTTACTGATTATAGATCCAATTTAGTGCGCAGTACTACTGTCTACAAATTGCAGAAGTGGAGAAGGAGGATCTGATGATTCCCATGAAAATAAGGTCTACTTGAGGAATCATGTCCTGTTGGCATTTTGCTTGTGGAAGTAACTTGGTTGTATTTTGTTTTCCTTTTTTTTTCTTCATCTTTCCCCCTGCCCTAGCTATCGATCATAGATATGGTCTTTGGTTATATGAAGAGCTTTGTGTAAATTTAATGGTACGATAACTGAACTAAGGCAATAAAACTTGTAAACAGATTTTGTCCAGGGCTGTTTAGTTTGGCTTTTGAAGTCATCCTGTCCACCACGCAGCCCACCACCACAATCACTGCAGCTGTTGTTGGACTCATGCAAAGACGCACACAAAGATTTGGTATGTGGAAAGTAGAGTTACAGTCACGTGATGAGCAGTCTTCAGGACCACTTCTTTCCTTTGCATAACAAAACTTCCATGGTGCGTGACTTGTAAAATGCAATAAAATTTCAGTCTCTGCAGAGAGGACTGGAAAATTGGTTTGAACCATTTTCCACCAGAGAATGCATAGCTCCATCTAAACAGGAATACTTTGTGAAATCACAGTGATTTCACAAAAATATTTGATAGCATAAACAGTATAAAATATTCTGATAATGTTGAAAGCATCTGGCTTGAAGTTTTTTGACTAATGCATTTTAATTTTTCAATTAACTTTTTCATTTTGAGCATTTTAAAAGCTTTTGTGCTTTTATGGCTATAAAGGAATACAAGGGAAAAGAAAAGATTTTATTTTTCAATCAAAATCTCTTAAACAATTACAGCTGCATCCCCTTCTCCTTTCCTTCCCCTCCTGCTACCGGGAATTTTGAAATAAATAATACAGAAATGCTGCTGTATTCAAAACATCTGGCCACTATGCAGCTTCTCATAGTGAGATTCTAGAAAATTCTAGACAAAAGTGAATTAAGAGAAAATTTTCAGGAAGACCCACAGGTGGGTGTAAAATGGGATTCCCTAAATTAATTGTGAACTGTGGCATAAGGCATTGGCTATGTAAGCGGACAAAACCGTGGCTTGATATTTTCTTGTAAGAAGGGTTTCAGGCTAGTAGATCTTGGCCAGAAACAGATAATAATTCATCAGTGGCTCAGCTGTCCCCTCTCTTCCTTCCATATAACCTCTTTCCTCTTCTCTTTTCCATGATTCATGGGGAAATGAATACCGCCGGACTCGCATCTGGTTTGTGAGATCCTCAGCATCCTGAATTTTCTCGGTGACTTGTTCACTCACCCTGCATGAATTTTTCATTTCTTTGCTACATTGGGTCTTCTGGGTTTTTAGTGCAGACCCTGGTTCTGATTCCCTTCACCCAGCGAACACTCAATATTTGTTAGCACAGTAGTACCACTGTTCCCGACGCATATTCAGAACTGAGATGTAGTGTTATTTTTAAATGCAGTGTATGGAGAAAAAAATCAACATCTCGAAAATTAACTTTGTCTATGTATAAAATATATATATATGTATGCTGTTAAATCTCCACAAAAGGAGCAAAAACATATCTAAGGATTCAACCTTGTGAAAGTTTATGTCAACATTAAATGCACAAGTTGATGGCTTCTTCCTTTAGCAGCAAAACCTATTCTTACATCTCCTATCATCCAGTATAGCTTCTCATGCTGTGAACATTAAAGATTAAATTTCACCAGTGACCAGCAACAGGATATCTGGATTTCAGTTGAACATTTTGTGTCATGCGTAGATATTAAAAAGAATTATTGGAGCATAACTCTTGATTGTACAGAAATCTAGCTATTAGATCTCCCAGTGTGAAGGCACGTACCAATGGGGACGGACACAATCATTTCGGCCACAGACAAATGGAAATGACATTGCGTGTTCTCTGCTGGCCAGGGCAAAGTCAGACGAGGCCTCATCTCCCTGCTTTGCTGCTCCTGGCTAGTGTTGCCATTCATGAGTGAAGTCTTGTCTGTACCTGGCCAGTGCTGGAGCTCCTCAGAGTCACCATGGCAGCCCTGGAGGATGGCTGTTAATGAAGGAGCCCAGTATTTAGTGGAAGACAACTGCTACGCCTTTCACTATGCTTGTGGGTTTGCCTTTCCTTTCAGTTCCCCCCCAAGCTGCTGCTGCTTTTGGAGGTAGACGCTGACAGACATGGAAAGCTGTTTTTCCCATGGGAAATAAAATTTTTGAGAAAATGTGATTTTCCATTGAAAATCTACACTTTCCAGAGTAATCCCAGCAAGTCCAACCCCAAATAATTTTTTATGTCTTTGAGAATATTTTTTTTTATTAAGTGAAAAATGGGAATTTTCCCCATGGAAAATCCTCTCATCTGTTTTTTTCAAGCCTTCTTGTCTCTCCTTATTTTTTAATATTTGTTCCATTGCTGCAGTTGTCTGGTGTCAGACTGCTTTGCTCAGCATTTATTTTGACAATAAGTCAAGATAAGGCTTTTTTTTCTCAATATCAAAAAGTTCTATTTAGTTATGAGAGTAATTTTTCACAAGTTGAGCTTCAGCTCCAATTATTGCTTTAAAAATTTTGTTATCCTCCATTGGTGACAGCCACTAACCACAGGAAAAAAAAGAACACCAATACTAACATACTTTACTTAAGGTCATCTTGCATTAGGTATAACATAATTTGAAACTGGTGACTTCATTTTAACTTTCTTAATTAATATATGATGTTTAGCACTCCTATAAGGAATTTATTACTATTTGCACATTTTGCCATCTTATACAAATAATAAAATACTAGATTTGTATTATTAAAATTTTTTTATGAGGAAAAAAATGACCAGATCTAGTTACTAGTTGCTCAAGCAACTAGCTCTTTAGTAATAAATAAATTAGAGCTATGACAATATATTTTCACTTAATGCCAATAAAATGTGGACTGATAGCATTTCAGTGACTGTATTATAATCTCTTCATACGATGTCCTAGCTAAATAACTGCTGCACTTTTTCTGCTACATATATTTTCAATTGTAAATATTTTTTTTAATTACACAGTATATAGTCCTGGGTGGAAAGAATGGGATCTAAGTGTATCTTTTGGTAAACATTCCATGATCTAATCCAACATGTTAAATAGTAACAGAAAAGAGTTCCTCCCATGGGATGCTCCTTCTCCTAGAAACAACTTAAAGAATTGTGCAGTGGCATTTTATTCCCAATTCTTGCTTTTCTTCTGATAAAATGCCTCTTATATTCTTTGTAGAATATCCTGCTTCACATTATTTTGCCTGTGGCTGCCAGGTATTTTAATTATCTTCAGTATTGGACAGCTCTGGACTCGAATCAACATAATTGAAGGCTTCCTTGTTTGTGAAAGTTGAGCTCAAAGTTAAACTGTGTCGTGGATTCACAGGTGCAAGTTCGTTTAATACAATATTGTCACTTTTTACAAGAGTTGCTTTGTCCATATGTTCTCTACTGTACCTGGCAACAACAGCATCAAGGAAGTCCAGCTTTGGTGGCAAAGTCCCACTCTCAAATAAGTATTTGGCTAAGTAGGAGACTATAATGTTTGAAAAGAAGGAGGTAAGCATAGCGAGTGTTTTAAATGGGAATCGCTGGATATAGATATTGTTTTCATCTGGATAGCAGCCAGGATAGTAGATCAAGGGCTGAAGATAGAGGTATGGTTCTCCTCCAGTTATTCTGAGAACAAGGCCAAATAAGTAACCTGCAATGGCACCATAGGTGTTGGTTCCTTTAATAAACAACACACACAGGAGCTGGGGGAATATGATGATATAAACAAGATCAGAGCTGAGGTACCACAGGCCATACACCGACGAAGCTAGAAGTGCCATTGCTGTTGCTGATGCTCCAAACAGAAAAACAGTGATTCTCATGACCCACACGATTTCTCTGTCTGAAGCCTGCAAGAAAAGGGCAGTGTTAGGTGGTGTTTTTCTTCATGGCAACATATGTATGCCTATATTTACGGACACAGCCAATATAAGATAGTTGCCTTTTACATCGTAATAGGAAATTTTTCATTACATATTCAATAATATTTACAAACTCATATCTCTATTTCAAGAGCAGAGAAAAAACCCAGAGGTTATCGTTGCCATTCCCAAAGTTATTAATCTTTGAGCATAAGGAAAAGTTTGATAATGTGTCAAAGAAAAAAACTGCTAGAAATAACTTTTAAATATAAGCACAATATGGCTCAACCAGGAAAAAAAATTGTCAGTGTCACAATTTCTTCTCCATTTCCTAAGAAAAACTCTGACTCGCTAGCCTCTTCTGTTGTCAGGTGATTTCCTGATAAATCAATAATTCTGAAAGATGTCTCATTCTGTTAAGGATTTAAGTAAAACTTATGGTTGAAGCAATAATCAGGAGCTGTTTGGACAAACTGCAATGCCGTGAGAACTCTCAAAGCTTCCTCCCCTGAGCTAGTTTTTTCACCTCTGTCATCAATCACAACCATAAATATTTTTATGACTTTCAGTTTATTCAGCATATGGTTAGGAATGAAACGCTATACTTTTTCTAGTCATAGGCAGGAATGTGAAAGAGGTGTTTCATTATGAAATTACAGGCTATGCATCACCTAGTAAATGTCTCACCTAAAATTTTCTCTAAAAGTAAAAATGAAAATGTAAATCTCACATTTTGCCGAAAGGAAAGCTGGTAAATGTTCCGAGCAAACATAGAACTTGCTGATAAAATTGAAGAGTCAGCTGACGACATCACGGCAGCAGATACAGCACCAAGGCCAAAGAATGAGATATAGACTGGACAAAGGTACTGGAGCACAATCGGTAAAATCATATCTGCTTCTTTTTTAGTCATGGGGTCAGGGACACCATACTCAGTCTTGTTCCAGGCTGCAATATGTACACCAGCACGTTATTAGTAACATTAGCAGTCTTTAGTTACAACAACTCTTGAGTTCATGTGTAGTGAGCTATTTGTATTACCACATTTCAATTCACACTCAATAACCAAATCGTTACTAGGGCCAGACCGATGGCATTTGAGAGAGTCATTGTCCCACTGGGATGTCTTAGGCAGATTTAATTCCTCTCAGCATTTTTCCTTATCTCCAAGCTAAGTCTGACCACAACCTGGGGTTATCCAGTAGGAAGTTTAATATTAAAACTTTGTATTGTTCATAAATGTAATTTTCCTCCATTAAACAAGTCTGAGATCCATGTTTGGTTGTGATGTGTTTAACTATTCTCTTGGATTACTGACTCAGAGCTCAAAGTCATGTGTTAAACATTTCTAACAGAATATTTCTCACAGTTTAGCTACATGGTCTCTGTGATGGGGACCACTCTCACTAGGACAAAGAACTTGACAAGGATGTTTTGGGAAGGATAAGAAATTCCTGATAAATGACTACAATACATACACAGTTATTTTTCAGTTATTACTGTTAGGACCAATTAAAAGTACCAGAATCTAACTCAAACATTGTAGATACCTACAACATGCAAAAGGAGTTAATCTCTGCCACTGGGGTAGGAGCAATTTCCCCTGGGAGAAACATTCTATAATATTATTTTTCAGTGTAGTGTCTTGTTGAAGAAGTAATGAGTTGATTAATGATGTCACCTGGACAGATTTTATCTAATGTAAGCTTTGTAGGGTTAACACACATTTATTGTACTATTTATATTTAGTCATTTACCTGTAGATGCTCCAATTGCACCAATAAGTACTGCAGGAAAAGCCATCACCAGACAGCCAAAAGCAGCCAGAAATGACAGAACTTGGGCATATGTGGCTGAAGATGAAGAAAGAACTCGCTGGAAATACGCTTGCCATGGGATTCCTCCTAATGTCTGTAAATACAGTGGGCAGCATGCTGTCATTGGGGGCTAACTCTGGATTTTTTTGCTATTGCCATATAGATAGCATGTAGAAGCATCACTTGAATGTTGAATGCTGTGTTGCTGCTTTTTCATTTTTATTTATCAAATGCCAGTCAGCCAGTACTAGATGTAACTATTATTCTCACAAGTAATGTTAAACATTTGTACGTCCACTTAAATCCCATTCTTTTATACAAGTTATTCCTTAGTACAATTAGCAACAACGCTTTGCACTTACATAGTCCCTGTAATCCCTAAGTATTGTGAGATGCATAAATATTTGCTAAAGTCTTGCTTTAAGGCTTACTTACAGTAAAATACTATTGTCGCATTTCATATTTGGAGAATTTGGCTTCCAGTACCCTCCCTCTGCCAAAGTTAGATTAGTCCCTGATAGGATTTGAAAAGAAGATTTTATTTTCCTTTATGAATGTGTGTGGCCATTAAAGCAAGGGAACATGTTCTATATACACTGAACACAAGAACCTGAAAAATTGTTCTCCCACTGACTTAATCAAATATGATGCCAATAGAAATTAAAGACAAAGCAGTAAAAGAAAGTTTGTTTTTATGGTGGCAACCCTTCTCTTGTTTTGGGCATATAACAGTGAAGATCCTGATTAGACTTAAAATTATGTCTGCAAAATACGATACGAAAGAGTATTATCAAAGGCTGAAAAACCAAATGCTAACAATTGCATCTTGAGAGGAGGATTTGAATAGTCTCCACTAAGTAAATAAGTGCCTATGACTAAACAGGGTGGGAGGAAAATTAAGCAAATTGCTCACTAAACGTACACAGTCCAGTTCTACACGCTAAATGAGACAGGAGGCATTTGGACCAAATAGTGTGTATACAGGTGTCTCATACATGTTTCATGTGCACACAGGGACCAAATGAATGTTTCACAGGCAACTCTAATTTCAACTTGCTATTTATGACTGTGATCATTTGCAGCCTTAATAATGTTCCTTTAAGAAAGCTTTCCAAGCATGTGTAAATTTCTTGAGCTATAATGAAACAAACAAGATGAAAAGAAAATATGTCACAATTTGGCAACATCAGAACTTTCCTTTGGTTGTCACGCCATTCAGGCTTATCACACAGAACACAGCCACTTGAGCTAATGTCATACTTTGGCTCTCTGACGATCTCTGAAAAATTTAATCTGGATAAAATAATATATTTTAATAACTAAATTATTAAAGTTGTAATAATTTTATAACTTTATATCAGTTATAATATATGAGTTGATTAATTATCAGCAAACTCTGAAGATTTTTAGTAGAGATTATTAAAAAAAAAATCAGAGAAAGGAATCCCAAAGTACAACATGATAATAAAGTCAGTGTAGAGTTGCTTAGGGACACTGAGAATGGAAAATGTTAGCATGTGTTGCCAGATCTTCTAATGGAAAGCACTTAATAACCACCAATCCCATGTGTAATGCATGGGTATTAAATAACAAAAGCCCTCAGTTCATTCTGGCATGTGTGCACATAGGAATTCATCCATCCATCCATCTCTGCAAAGGTTTTTCTACATCACCTATACATCAGGCATATTTAATAATTTGTATAACATATTTATTGCCTTCTGCAATATATAAATTCCTCTGCCAAGAATGACATCAGTTAAGTATTAGCTGCATACTTCTAATTAATTCTAGCATAAGTCAAGCCTTTCAGCCTGATGATATTTAAATTGCATTCCTGGCAATGCTGACTTTGACAGCTGTGCTACAATATTCTACTGATGTTTCACTGAAATCATTCAAATGTGAAGAAATATTGAGCAGGAGTCAAGTGAGTAAAAGTTTTCAGTTTGCTGGAAACTCTTAACCAGACTGTATTATTTTCAGCTGTCACAGTGACACAGTGTTGGTGCTTAAATGCTTCATTCCTTCATACAAGCCATCACTTACCAGTAAAATGAAATTGTCCAGCCATGTGTAAATGTCAAGTGAGTTGATAGATCCAAGCCAAGGTGCTTGGTACACCTCCTGCACAGCTGTGAGCCCAATGTCTGTCACTGCAGGATGGGACATCGCAAAGGGTACGCTGATCCACTGCAACCAAAGAGAAACACTTTCTTCAGATCTAAAGAAGGCATTCTAAATCTGTGAAATTTTAATATCAACATTGATCTGTTTTTCTTCTTCTTGAATGCTACAAATCAAATTGCTGAGCTGACTAGCAGAAAAGTCGGGTTATGTGCCAGTGGAACATCTCCAAAATCCAGAGAGCTTGGTAATGGATAGCTTACCTCTCTCTTGGAGACTGTGAGTATGAGCAGAGAATTAATCAGTGTAAATTGCAGAAACAGCAGGAAAGACACATTTATACATCTTCATTTTGTTTTCCCTATGGTCCATGTACATTCTTTACACCCTTTCCTGGACCACATGGTAGAGAAACATCTACATATAAACTTGCATGCAATAGCATCAGGATTCGCCAGTATCCAGGCATGACACATGACAAACACACCTGCAGGCTTGGGAATTTGTTTTTAATTCAACACAAAACTATATTGTGACAAGAGAGGGGTGCTGTTGGTCAACCTCCATCTCTCTTGCTCCAGAACACCCAGTAGCATGGTGTTACAGTACTTTTTTGCATTGTGGGTGATTTCACTCTGGGCTCTTGACTATTTTCAGTCCCTCTGTTTTTGATCTATGCCAAAAAATCAGTTGAGAAACCCTTCCCAGAGACAGTTTCTCTCAAAAGGTTCCTTTCCTTCACCAACTGACTTTTTGTGTGTTTGCTTGCAAATTCATTTTGCCATGGTGTAACTCACTTACTATGAGGAGAATATCAGCGGCTCCTACCAAGATGAAAACCAGGCTTTGAGCTATATGGAGTAGACCATCACAAGCACAGCATCCTTAAAGATCCAATGATATCCAAAACCACACAGATTACCACAATGCAACATTCAAGTGCATAGGGTAACAGAAGCAAGGAGGGGAGAAATCAAACATCTTCCTCTACTTCTCTGCACAATTATTGCAATGATGTGTGAAGAATATTTTGCAGCACTGCCAGTTATTCAGGCTGTTTATCATGTACTGTAATATTCTGTTCTCTGTTATATGTTAAACTTTGCCAATTTAAGTACTTGGGCAGAAAGATTCCCTTCTCACTGTCTGTTTGGGCTTTTCTGGGAAAGATCACCGAAATGTTTCAACTGTCTCCAAGATATTTTGAGGGAAAAATAAACATATCATAAAAATTAATAGATATTAATACTCTTCTTGCTGAGAAATTCATGGGGGACAAGGATGTAAAACCAATTTTTTTATTCTTCTTTGTGAATCTCAAATCTCAGACATGTCCAAGTGATGAACTTCAAGAGCTGTCGTTTGCCCATACTCAGATGAGATTTTCAGTAGGATAAATTTCTAAATGTCCATCTGCAGCACGCACGGCACAGCACAGGATTTAATAGGTACTGTACTGCAAATGCATTATGAGATTTTGTAATCCATTCCATTTCCTGACAGTAACCTAGCTCTTTGTGGTTTCAAGGACTACCTCTACATTAGTAAATAGAACAAGTCAAGACAGTTTCTCTGGCCCTGCAGTTCACTGACATGTCATGGTTTACATCCATACATCTAGGTTCTTTTTCCTGCCAAAAAGACCTGAACTGTTCCTGGGGATTATCTGGGAAAATACCAGTTGGCATGGGCCAAAGCAGTGCCAGGACTGCATTAACAATTAAGCACTACAGATGATCTTGTGTTTTCACCTTGTCACTGTTTAACTTAATATAGGCATAGACCCAATTTCTTCATTGGGTCCTTTCTAATGGGAGTAGAAAACTCACTGTTTTAAATAGAGGGCAAATAAAACCAAGGCTCACGGAAATTAAGCAGAAACTGGGATTTTATGTTGGGACTTGAAGCTTAGGGGTAGAAGCAGCAGGTAGCTAGAGGGACTTGGACCTCGTGGGGTTGGAAAGCAGAAAAAAAGGACTTCTACATGGTGGCAAAGAGTTTAGAATAGGGAATTAATAATACAGTGAAGAAGAAGAGTCAGTAAATGGTGGTGATACAGTGCAGGATCAGGGAAAGACTCATTGATAAAGACAAAGAGTGGAGAATTGCAGATGTGGCTACAGGAAAGTGAGGAGGGAAGGAGACAGACCACATGCAATTGTAAGGAGAAAACCCGGGAAGTATGTGGAGTGGCTGGGGTAGAGGTTATGGAAGCCTAAGGAAGAAGCTGTGGCTGAAATGAGGAGCCAAGGTAGGGAACAGAAATGATTACAACAATCACCTTCTCTTGGGTAAGGACCTAACAAACTGCTCCAGAGCCTGGAGGAGAAGCTGGGACACCTGACACTGTGACACCTCCTGCTGTGCCATCTACTGTGAAAGTCCCATCTCATCTAAAACTGCCTCACCTAGAGCATGACTATTTAGATGCTATCCAAGGCTTCCAGCCCCACTGATGACTCTTGAGGTTATGAATATGGTTTCTTCTACATGACATTATTGCTATTTATTTCAAATGGAAAACTACATGAAGAGCGCAACCTGAACTAAAAGAACACATTTTAAAATTGGATTAAAAGATCCAACCATTTGGACAACTGCTATACAAACTTCATTTGCTTTCCCCTCCCTGTCAGATTCACCCAGCCTTTAAAACAGCATCACACATTGTTATTCCCATGGAAACGGGGTCTCTAGCAATGCATGAGTTGTTCTCGTTGGAAAAGCATTTCTGTATTTTGATTTATCTACAGTTTTGGGAATTTCTGTAATGCACACCATCTGTAGAAATGGAATGGTTCACAAACATTAACATGCATGTTAGGGAAGGAGACAGTATCTTCCCCACTGTGCAGGTGAAGAACAAAGGTATGAGAGAAAATCTGGAATAACTTCTCATTTGAAGTGGCCAGCTGGAACTTGGATTTGCATTTTCAAGGTATTTAACACCATTCCCATGAAGTCAGTTACAACAGGGAATGCTTAGCACTTCAGCAAATAAGGCCATAGGCCTCAGAGTAGGATGCCACAGAGTGAGGACACACACAGGGTTGGCTAGTGACCACCTGTGTGAGCACTGGCTGAAGTAATTTCCCCAGAGTTGCACCAGAGCTCCAGTGAAAGCAGAGAAACAGCTCTGGGTCCCCAAGGTGCCATTCAGTTCCTTCACCTTGAGCAACTCCATTTATTTCAGCTTGTCTCAGTTCTCTGCACACCTGTGGCCATCTATTACTGCCACTGCCAAACAAAGACAGCAGCTTCTTTGATTGCACCCCTGTGTTCTGAGCCCTGCTGCATCAAAGTTTTTCAGAGTAGGGCTTAAAGGACAGCAGTAAATAAAAGAAAAAGCTACTCACTAGTATATCATTGATAACTAATGAGGGGATATTCATACCACCATATTCAAACAGCAATGTCATCTGGTGAGACTTCCTATAGTATGGTCTCCAAGGACGGTGGAGGGAAATGAAGGAAAAACCAAGAAGGTGATTTGAAGCAGAAGGTTAACTAGGCTGCATGAGTAGGTGACAGCTACAGAAAAGGGAAGCAGGAGAGCGTCAGCTCTGCAGGTCCAACGCCAGTGTTTCTGGACTGTTTTACCCACTGCTCCCTATGTCTGATGCCTCCTTCCAGTGCCTGTGCCACAGTCCTACGGACAGATAGGGAAAAAGTCAGCTGCAGTCCTATCCTGAGTTAGATATATATCCAGCAGGAAAATTACAAGAGTATTTGAACTATCAGACTGGTTGGAAATAAGCCAAAGAACTGGGCCTCTCAGACAGCACTATTGTCAATGCACAAGCTGTATATTGAGGTAAAGGCAGACACTTTAAAGTCAGTGCTCTGGTGACTGGAGATATTCCTTCTCTGTGCTTTTAGTGAAGACACAGTTTCAAAACTGGCTAACAGGTGTCAGCAATCATCATCGTGCTCAGGGCAAAATCCTCAATAAAGAATGGAAAAAACCCAAACTTACCAGCCCCAGGAAGATGCAGAAGAGCTGAACTACATCAGTGTAGGCCACAGAATAAAGCCCACCCACAAGCGTGTACATAGTTGCAATCAGGGCAGAAATAATGACTGAAATATTGACATTAATGTCAATGATCACACTTATAGTGGCACCTATGGGGAAAAACAAAACAGCATGTGTTAGTGTATGTTGCAGTATGTCTGATGAGAAGGCTCACCTTTGTCAAGTTGCATACACAGGTGCTGGTCTGACACTTAGCAATGGCATGAAGATAGTCCCCCCTCTATCTTCTGCACAGCCCTTCTGCACCTTCGAAGGGAGTGGGAAAAGGAAGGGTCCTGTTGGTCTAAGTTTAGCATCTGCCATTTCATAGGTCCTTATGGAGGAGGGAAGGGTCCCAACAGCCTTTCCTTACGCTGCTCAAGCTCTGGAAGGACTATGCTTTCTTGTTCTGTCTGAGGAAAAGCAGCCACACACAGACAGCTGAAGCCTCCCTGGGTGAGTTGCAGCCTCACTGGAACAAGTGTATCATTGCAGTAAGGCTGGGCCTAGGGGAGGTCTGCTGCAACGTATCACGCCCTTTTGTATCTCACTTACGCTCTGAGCTAGCCCCTTTTGACTGGGGAAAGAATGGTAGAGGAAGCATCAACTACAGAGACAGTTGTCCACTGACCCTTCTAAAGTGCCCTTGAATTATTTACATGGGAAAAAGGTGAGTTTCCTTCCAAACTGGAGAATCCATTCTCCCTTGTTGACCTAGAAACCAAGAACTTTTCCAAGCACTATCAAGCAAATTTTGTTTTCAGAAAACAAACCACAATGTTGAGATGACCGATTAGTCTCCACAAAACAGCTCATAGAATCAAAAAGTTGTTGAGGCTAAAAGGCATCTCTAGAGATTTTCTAGTCCAAGTCCCCACTCCAGTACTGTCAGTTGGAGCAGGTCGCTCAGGGTCAGTTTCAGTCGGGTCTTGAATATCTCCAAGAATGGAGACTCCACAACATCTCCAGGCAACCTGTTCCAGTGTTTGTCTTCTCCCACTGTAAAAAAAAAAAAGTTTCTTCTTAAGTTTAAATGGGGTTTCCTGTAGTTCTGCTTGTGTCTATTGCCTTTTGTCCTGTCACTGGGAAGCACAGAGATGAGCTTGGTTCCATCTTCTTCATTCTACTCTCCCCACTGCCAAATCAGGTATTTATGCACATGGAGAAAAACCTCCTGAACCTTCTCTTCTCCAGGCTCTCTCAGCCTCTACTTATATGCCAGATACCCCAGTCCCTTAGTCATCTTTGTGGCCCTTCATTGGACTCTGTCTGGCATGTCCATGTCGCTTGTATCGGGGAGCACTGTTTCTGGCACTCCAAATGTCTCACACCAGTGCTGAGTAAAGGGGAAGGATCCCCTCCCTCAATCTACTGGCAATGGTCCCTCTAATGCAGCACAGGATGTCATTGGCTTTCTTTGCCACAAGGGCACATAGCTGGCTCATGTTCAACTTCACTGTCTCCTAAGACTCCCAGGTCCTTTTCTGCAAACCTACTTTCCTGCTGGTCAGCCCCCAGCCTGTACAGGGACATCAGGCTTTACCTCCCCAGGTGTAGGACTTAACATTTCTGTTTGTTCAACTTTGTGAACTTCTTGTTGTCCCATTTCTGCAACTTGTTGAGGTCCTTCTGAATGGCAACACAACCATCTGGTCTATCAGCAACTCCTCACAGTTTTTATTTTCTACAAACTAGATGAAGGTGCACTTGGTCCCATCAGCCAGGTCATTAATGAAGATGTTACACAATACAGGACTCAGTATTGATCCCTGGGGTACACAACTGGTGACTAGCCACCTGGTGGCTTCCATGCTGTCGGTCACAGCCCTCTGAGTCCAGCAGTTCAGCCAGTTTTCAATCCTCCTCACTGTCCACTTACCTAATCTATACTTCATGTGTTTGTCTATGAGTATATTACGGGAGACGGAGTAAAAAGCCTTTTCTGAAATCTACAACATGCTCTGCTCTCCCTTCATGAACCAAGCCAGTCAGCTCATCATGGAAGATGTTGGGCTGGTCAGGAATTATTTCTTCTCCATAAATCCATGCTAAGTCCTCCTAATCCCCTTCTTGAGCTTCATTTGTTTGGAAGTAGTTTCCAGGTGTATTTGCTCCATTGCCTTCCCAGGGACTGAGGTGAGGCAGACCAGCCTTTAGTTCCTGGTATCCTCCTTCTTGCCTTTCTTGAAGACAGGAGTGACTTTGTTTTTCTTCTAGTCTTCAGGAACATCCTTGATCACCACAGTCTTCAGAAGACTACAGAGAGTGTCCTTGCAATGTTATTAGCCAGCTCCCACAGCACTCGCAGGATGCATCCCATGAGGTCCCATGAAATTGTATCTGTCCAGTCTATTTAAATGTTTCCAAACATGATCATCATCTAGCAAGCCTTCTTTGCCCTGGGTTTCTCGGGGTCCTGGGATTCCTGAAGGCTGGTCTTACCAGGAAAGCATGAAGCGAGAAGGCACTGAGTACCTCGGCCTTTTCCATATCCTTTGCTACAGGGCCCCCTGTCCCATTTTCTCCAGTTTATGTACTGAAAGAAGTCTTTCTTGTGGCCCTTCATGGCCAGATTCAAATCCAGGTGGACTTTAGCTTTTCTAAACCAATCTCTGCATCATTGGACAGTGTCTCTGTATTCCTTACGGGTCACCTGTCCCTGCTTCCACATCCTGAATGCATCCTTTTAATTTCTGGGTCTAGTCAGGAGTTTTTTAATCCATGCAGGTCTCCTGCCAGCTTTGCTTGTTCTCCTGGTTGTCAGGATGGACTCTTCTTGAACTTGGAGGAGTTGAACCCCGAGTATCAATCAGCTCTCCTGGACTCCTCTTCTCTCCAGGGCTGTCTCCTGTGGGATTCCTCCAAACAGATCCCTGGAGAGGCCAAAATCTACTCTCCTGAAGTCCATTGTTGCAGTCCTGATTTTTGCCTTGTTCCCAACTCTCAGGACCCTGAAATCCACCATCTCATAAATACTGCAGCCCAGTCTGCCTTTGACCTTCACATGCCTAACTACTTTTTCCTTGATTGTAAGTAACAGGTTCAACAGAGCACCTCCCTTTGTCAGGTCCTCCCTGACCATTTGTTTCAGGAAGTTGTTGTCCGTGCACCTCCTGAATTTCTTGTGCCCTCCTGCACCGCCCTTCCAGCAGTCGTCAGGATGGTTATACATTTCCCTTAGATGTATTAGCTATTTCAAGGGATTGCAGTGCTTTAAAGCCATGCTTAAGAGAAAAAAAATCCTGTCCTTCTAATTAGGATAATTTAAATGAAACATGTTGCAATAACTTCTAGTCCTTGCAGATATTGTAGCTGGATATTCTTGACTACATAGGTGGAAAAGTTCTGGCAATAGAACATGAAATGATGCGCGGTATATAAGAGCTGTTGGGAACTGCCAGGTGGCTTTTTGTTGTATAGTGAGCCTTCAAAGCTCATGTGCTTAAGGATTACAAGCTCAGACCACTTTCACAAGCTGGAAGCCCTGTCTTTCATTTCTATAACCATGCCAAGCAAGAAATCATGAGGCAGATCAAGAAGTGACGATTATTGGGATTAAATATTCATCAGTGAAGATAGGTGTGCAAGTTAGGAAGTATAATATAACCAGATTATTCACAGAATAGTTAAAATCAAACCTCTCAATGACCTTTATAGTCATTGACAGTCTTTAATTGTGAACTGTTAATATAAACCTACTAGAAAGGTATTCACATTGCTTGCTTTGAAATATCACAGATTAGCTTGTCCTTAATCAACAATAAAGTATATTCCAAGTACTCAGAGTGTTCTTCAAATTCTTCAACCCCTATCACCTCAGCATGTAGTTTGTTCTTAGCCCTTTAAGGGTTTTGTGATGAAATTGTGGTAAACAAGCTCCCCATTGCTTTGCAGTTCATCAGGGCACAGTTGGAGAGTACCTTCAAAGTTTATTTTCTGTTTAAAAAAGCTTGTGCTAGAAAGCATGACCACATGCATGCACACTATGAGTATGATTAGCTGGTGAAAGTCAACTACTGGTGCTTCAACTCAAGGGCTTTCTCAGTTCTTGAAGGGTTTGCTAAACTTGGGCCTGAAATATAATTAAAAACCATGGAAACTGTTTTTTTTTTCAGGACTGGATGAGTAGTTGGGTGATTTTCTATTGAGTCATAGTTCCACTAATTCTCTGAATCCCCTCTGGCATCCTAAGTATTTTCTTCATTTTGTCTAGTAGAAAGACATTTAGAAGTGAATAATACTTCAATTTATTTATCAGCATCTCTTTTACTTATATTATTTGTGCTATGGAAAGTTCTGTATACTTTGGTCTCCTATACGCAAAGGATTATTTTATTTAGATGCACTGACAATAATCTTTCACATATTTAAGGGAAATTTTGACTGGCTTCTGTGATCTCAGTGGTGTAAAAGAGCAGCTTGGTCAGCTTTGACATAAGAGTGACATTTGTGATCACTCATGTCACCCTCACAGTTAAAAGAAATTTGTTTCTAAAACTTTTTAATGCTCTTTGAAAACAGACAATTTAAAGGTACCTGAAAATAAATAGATACCTTGGGTGTCATTCCATTACCAAAACAATTAATGAGGTACCATTACTGGGTTTAATTACTAGTTAGCATGGGTCTGAGAACTGTCACATTCTAAAACATTTGTCTAAGATAGTTAGCATAGTTAGCATAGCCAGAATTTTAACGCATTTCTGATTTTCTTAATCCTTTCCACCCATGATAAATTAATATTTGTACTGCTTATTCCTTACCTAATGCAGAGAAGATAGCAGCAGCCCAAAACATTTCTCCCATTAAAGCTGGAATAAACAGTAGCCCTCCCATCCTTTTTCCATAAGTCTGCTGAAAAGGGTCTAGCATTGTCACATAGCCTTTGGATCGCATGGGTTTTGCAAAAAAAAGGCCCCCTACAAAGAAAAGTAGCATAAGACACCAGCTGCAGTGGAGAAATGCATTGCTATTAAGGGATAAAACATTGATTGTCAGTTAAGGGTACAAAAATGTCATTATTACTGTTTGTTTTTTAAAGAAGTAAGTAAATTTAAAATATCCTCTAAGAACTCTTACATTACATCTATTTACAGAGTTACATGAACACATCCACACCATTAATATCTATGATCCAACAATTAAAAATAAGTTTGTCATATTTTCTGTGGTTCAGTTTACTCAATTTGCCTCTATGGGGGCTGTCAGAGTTTTGTCTAATTTTGGATCAGCCTAAGGGAATGGCTTTTCTACCTGATTCCATTCATGCTTAGAGCAGAATCCAGCATGAATTTTCACATGGTCTTACTCTAGAAAGAAAACAGTCTAAGATTCCTGGATCAAGAAATATGACTTCACACATGGTTTAGTGCATACACAGCAAATCTGATTCTTTCAGGACAGTTCAGGTTTGTTATGTGTGCTTAAATCAACATTACTACACCTGCAGGATAGGTCAGATGCTTTCTTGGCTTTACAAGTGTCAGGCTCCCTGCACATTTATCATACACTTACTTCTCTTACGTATATTCAGGAATTTTGATGTATCACAATTCTGCTCTGCCTATCTGGCATATGGGCTGGATATGTACATAAATGTGCAAAGGCCTCAGGCTTTCTAATGTACAGTCCTCAAATTCTTTCTCCCTGGGAAAAAAAAAAGGACATACCTCAGGAAAGCTGAAAGAGTCCTTCTATGGAAACCTGTGTAGCTGAGACCTGCATGTGACGATTACTAAGTAGACTTCTACCACAGTAAAACTGCTGAAATGCAATGTATAAGCTACAATAAAAAACCTGGAAAGCTAGTCAGTTTCCAATAAAATCTACTGTACAGTGTTCAGTGACCCTTAGTTAGGTTCTTCGTCACAAGATACGTAATGTATTCATTGTATTGCACAGAAGATTTTCCACATTTGTGTGTATTGCCTTATATCACTCATATTTCTTCATTTCATTAAGTTCCTGGAATAGAAGGTACTGGTTTACCAATCACAATTTATTTATACTGCTTATGTTAACACTGTCTTTAGACAGGCTGTCTGAATGCAGAAACCCTCCAGCATTTTTTTACTATTCTTGGACAGGTCATGGATCATGTTCCTATTCTGCTTGTTAAGTCATCATTACAAAAGACAACTAAAAGAAGAAAAAAAAGAGTCACTGGTATTACAATCTATTAGGATGTTCAAACATCTGTCAAAGGAAATAGCGGATATTCTAACCTTTAAAATTAAATTGCTTGAAAAAATAGGAGAAGTGGTATGCAGCACAACATTGAACTAACAGGGAGATTACATAAATCTTAAATCCTTTCAGTCTGAAGCAGTAATATTACCTCTAGACTTGTATTTATGATTTTGATTTTTTTTTAAAGGATGAACCACTCCTCCCCCAAAACCTACATGTACAGATCACACCTACAGAAATGATTTCCTTTCTGTGTTCTGCAGAGAGATATACAGTCACATGATAGAGACTTCTTTTCTCTGCAGTGGCCATTATTATTTCCAGGAAAAAAAAAAGTCTGGATATCTAAAAACATCCAGAAATGAGGGGAGAGGCTAACTCAACCCCTCCTAGGCTATTATTAATTTGTGTCAATTATACAGAGGCTAAGAGTTAGGAACATGCTTGTGACTGCGATCCTAATGGTGGCTTAATGACATCGATGGATCATGACCCTCATTGACTGCATAATGACATCAGCTGGTCTCCAGGCAGACATCTACTGTTATTGTTTTCATTACAGGAAATAGAGCTGCTCTCAGGGATGGGAACTACTACTGTAACTGGAGTTGGCTCACACATTCCAGAAAGGAGTATCTGTGATGGGGAAGGTTTCTGTCTGGGAAGACAGGAGAAGCAGGACAGGCCATAGGAAAACATTTCCAAGGGGAAAAAGAAGTCAGGAGAGAAACCGAGTTGCATAAGAAGAAATAAAAGGGGCAAGAAGAGCTGCATAACCAAAGGAAACAAAGGGACAGACTAGGTGGAAGGACCACAAGAAAAGACTAAAAATAGACCGAGAGGTCAAGTAGTATTAGGAAGTCTAATAAACCAGTCACATTAATGAAAGATGAAAAACATAGGATCTTTTTTGGTCCCTTGGGGCATGATCTGTTCATAAACTGAGAGGAGGTTGTTGACAACTTTGTGGTATATTCATCACAGCTCACAAGGCAATACTTGCATTGTGAGCTGCTCCATGTGGTTGAGACACACTGAGAAATTTTTTATTGCTATTGTTTGTAAGAAAATTAAGGAAGTTCTGTGACTACATTTCAGGAATTAGAGGCCACAGCATTAAAAAATATAACATTATCTGTATTTTACACCCTGACCCTGCATATAGTAGGATTGTGTATTTGCATTCTGACATGTGATTTGCAGTTTTGTATTGCTTGGTCCAATTTTAAGGAAACAGACTCGTTCTACTACACGCTTCCTAAATAAAATTAGACAAGTTACTTAGACTCCTAGTGAAGATCTGTAAGGTATAAACACTTCCCTAATCTGAAAGGATATTTGCCACTCTTGATTTCAAACATTTCTTGGTGCCCTGATACTGTTGTGTTCCAGATCACAAAGGCCCTTAAAGAAAACCTGAATATGTGAACCTTAGTATATATAATTTTTTAAAAAATCAAATAATAATCAAATAGGTCTTGCCAATGCATTCAGGAGACTTAAGATATCAGCAGCTTATAGTGATTTTCTGTTTTTCTTTCTAATAGCCAAACCTACCAGCAGAAGGGACACAGTTTACCTCCATATCTTTTTATCAGGCCCTAGTTGTTCCATTTCAGATGATGAACCTGTCATCAGAACTGTTTAAAATGAGAGACTATTAGCCTTAGTTCTTTGCTTACCTAAAACCAGACTAAGGGAATATCCGATAGGTGCCTGAGCCCACGCAAGACCATAGCCTGGGACGTACACAGCTTCTGCTGTCCCATTGATGTAACCTCCTCCAACCCATGTGGCTGAAAAAGAAGACATGGAAAAGTCTTTAATGTGCACAAAGAAAGAAAAACCTTCCATGCTATAGAATGAAATTGTCATAACTTATAGTATTGCCATTTTTTATTATATGTGTTGTACAAGTACCAGACATGGTATCCTTCTACAAAAGATAGTCTTCGAAAAACTTGCAACCTAAGCACATGAAAAAAGAAGTCAGATGTAGTGAGACAAGCGTCAAGGCCTCTAAGCGTCTGTACATGTCCATGAAGATGTGAGGACTGAGTCCCCTACTACTTCTTTGCAATGAATGAAGCACATCAACTCATTAACCATTATCATTTTCTTTGTGCTAGTTCAAAGGAGACATGCAAGGTGGGATGTGAAGAAGAACACTAAACATACAGTTATAAAGTCACCCCAGCTGAGAAAACTCAAAGCATTTAAATTAGACACGAGTTTAATGAATGCCTCATTTACTAGGGCCTTCATGAAGAAAATTGCACTTAAAACCTTGCTAGATTTTAAATTGCAGATACACGAAATGCGTTTAGTATACTCTGACTTCCCTAAATCCTATGTCTCCATATAGGACAGCTATTTAAGTTCTAAACTTTGACTGATTTGTTTCTGTGCTTCCTGAAGACATATTCCATCAGCAAATTGTGCTATCTGTAATATTTCTGATTTTATCTCTCTAAAAAACAGCAGTATTTTAAATATAGCAACCTCAGTCCCTTAATGAATTAATTCTCTGCCTCAAAGAGAAGTTTCTACATTTGATAATTTGTGACCTACAGTATGTATGAAAGAAGGTCTCCAACACAGAAATGTATTGTGATTACATCTGCAAAAATATTTCATAATAAATGACATAATAAAGCTTATATCTTCTTTTTTGCAGATTCCATGCAAAAAGTTCCTGATTTTCTCTAATGTATAATGAGTAAGTTTTATGAATCTGGGCCTGTAGTTTGAACAAGGGTAGGCAGATCATTAAAAATAATAGATTTTTGTGTGTTATTTTGATTTGCCTCAGAAGCCTTTGCCTTCTCACATTAGAGTAGTTCAGGCTTTCAGTGTAAAAATTCACAATTGTAATAAATTTATTTTCCTTAAGAATTCTTCAGAATTTTCCCAGCATCTACCATGATACAAGCAAATCTGATTTTGTGTTTAAGACAAACAATTGGAGATAAACACAGATGAAGAAAATTTAATTCAAATTCCTAAAGAAATGTAATGAAAATCCAAATGATCACTCTTTTCCACTTAACTGTGATATCTCTCAAATACTACTAGAGGGTATTTTCTTTAACTTGATGCTAAATTACACAATGGCTTTAAAATCAAAGATCTCTGGCAACCAGACCATTACAATTGTTCCCACTTTGAAGCACAAGAATGGACCATTCTGTTGTTGGAAATAGTACAATGGGCTTGTATGAGGGATATGCATGAAGAGAAGATCTGCAACAAAAGAAGTGACCCAAGGAACTGGTGGACTTTGGGATATCGAGAGCTATTGCGCACTTTAGAGACAAGACAAGAAGGGAGTGATGAGCATGTGGGACCACGTAAAGTAGATGGGTGAACACTAGTCCTTGATGGGAAGAGCAGGGATACAGAATCTACATTAAAAAGTTGTCAGACATTTGGGATTTTGTGCCTCATGACAGTGTGAATTAAGGAAGGTGGGAATATGATACTTTGGTTACCAGAGTCCTAGAATCACAGAATCACAGAATCATAGAATGGTTTGAGTTAGAAGGGACCTTAAAGGTCATCTAGTTCCAACCCTTCTGTCATGGGCTGGGACACCTTCCACTAGACCAGGTTGCTCAAAGCCTCATCCAGCCTGGCCTTGAACGCCTCCAGGGATGGGGCATCCACAGCTTCTCTGGGCAACCTGTTCCAGTGCCTCACCACCCTCACAGTGAAAATTTTCTTCCTAATATCTAATCTAAATCTGCCCTCTTTCAGCTTATAATCATTACCCCTTGTCCTCTTACTACACTCCCTGACAAAGAGTGTTTCCCCATCTCTCCTGTAGGACTATGCACTCTAGTGGCAAAGGAATTTAGACAATTTAAACTACCATGACTGGTGGGATTTATATCACAGCGTTACACAAAAGCATGAAGTGTAGATTCACTTGTTTTAAGCTCTATACAATCCCTCCTCTGGACTCGCTCCAACAGGTCCAGGTCTTTTTTATGTTGGAGGTCCTACAGCTGAACACAGTACTCCAGGTGGGGTCTCACGAGAGTGGAGTAGAGGGGAAGAATCACCTCCCTTGACCTGCTGGTCATGCTTCTTTTGATGCAGCCCAGGACACAGTTGGCTTTCTGGGCTGCAGGCACACATTGCTGGGTCATATTCAGTTTTTCATCCACCAAAACTCCCAAGTCCTTCTCTTTAGGGCTGCTCTCAATTCACTTGTTGCCCAGCCTGTATCCATGTTTGGGGTTGCCCTGACCCACATGCAGGACCTTGCACTTGGCCTTATTGAACTTCATGAGGTTGGCATGGGCCCACCTCTCAAGCCTGTCAAGGTCCCTCTGGATGGCAACCCTTCCCTCCAGCATGTTGACCACATCACACAGCTTGGTGTCATTGGCCATCTTGCTGAGGGTGCACTCAATCCCACTGTCCATGTCTCTGACAAAGATGTTAACTAATACTGGTCCCAATAGGGACCACTGAATTACACTACTCATCACTGATCTCCACTAGGTCGTTGAGCCATTGACTGTTCAGTCCATGACCACCTGGGATGTATGCTCCCTACTGTGTTTCAAGCAGCATAGACTTATGGAATGGGTTGTAAGCACCTGTATACAATAATAAAAGTGAATATTTAGAAAGGGAATTGTATTTGTCTACTTCCCTGGAAAAAGCCTGTGCATGAATTCTGCATGAACAATACCCATTTTCAGACGGGAAATAATATTCCGTAGTCAAGGACAGACGTCCAGCATTGCTACGGCTGTGGTGCAAGGAGGCTTCAATGTCTAGCATCAATTTGCTTGGGGTTGCTGCTGAGGTGGCGGGTATTCTCCAAGGGGCACTTGATCACTAATGCCTAGCTTCCTTATTTTCTTCTGGAGAGTGGCAGGTCACTTCCCTTCTGTGTGATGTTGCAGGGGGCATTGCCCTCCCCTCGCTGGGGACACGAAAAATGCCCTACAGACAGGTATTGCTGGGTAGGGTGACATGGAGGATTTAGCACTTACTTTCAATTTTATTTCTCAATTTCTGGATTGGGGATTGAAAAATAGCTGCTGATCAATTTTTCTGTGCACATGTCTGTTCTGAAACATCTGCCAAGGACCCTAGAGCTCTAGGAAGGTGCTATATGGCCTCTTCTGAGGGGGTGAATGGGTAGTCATCACATATACTGAAATCAGTAAATACATTAGAAAAGAAATAATGGGATAAGATAGGATGGGATTTCAACCTTAGATATTAATTTCTGATCCTCAGTTTGCTAAGACACAATTTAAAGTTACTTTAATACCTTTTTTTGGTGAAATTATTTTTTTTTTCTAAATCAGACAAAAGGAATATAAAATTTAATAATCTATGGAAACACTCATGTAGTAATCTATTTTAATCCTCTCTTTGCCTGCCCTCTGAAGGACCAAAAAATGCAGCAAATACCAACATCCATTTAAAATATGCATCCTAAAAAATGATCAGAGAAATACCGAGGATATGGAATGGAATTTTGCTCCTAGTTCATATGACACAGAAATTAATCTCAGAGTTCTTTGTATATATTGATATATACTAGAAAATAAGTTTTTTTGGCACTTCTTTGTGAATGATCCCTTGTCTGACCACTCAAATTATTGAATCAACCCATCAAGGACTGCAAAATGAAAATCCTGACCTAAAAAAAACCAGAATTTTGCAATGTTCCCTTTTTTCTTGTGGAAGGACACATAGCTCCATCCAACTAAAATGAATAAATTATATCAATAGATAATTGCCTTTTTCGTCGTGTTTGTAAGCATTTGAATATGTCATCTCAAATTTTTCCTTTGGGGTTTAAACTCAGTTACCGAAACCACAATAGACTCAAGTTTGTCACAGATACCACTTCTTAAGAATTTCACCCACAAATTAAGGAACACTAATATTTAATGCAACATTTTAACGATAACTATGTAAAGGCGATACACAATTTAAAGGCCTGTCTACTATGGTACTATGTTAGCTCATTTTAATATGAACTGCTGTGATCCATCCCCAATTCAGGCTTCTCAGTCTTTCTATTTTGACAATTGCAGACACACTCAGCCTTGAACGGGCTTTGTGTTTAGACATTTCAGTAGCCAGTTGACACAGCTGCTTCTTCCTGATCATCATAAACTCTCAAATGTGTCCACAGAGTGCACTTGTTTTAAGGCTTTTAAATGCTGTTTAGAAAATCAGCTATAATTACTCAGGAATCTTGAGTCCGTCCCTATGAAGTCATGATGCTTATGCTCTGGATTTGATTTTAAATTTATAGGCTGAGTTCCATCATCCTCTCCACCAAGTAGCCTCAGAAACTGTTACCATTTTTGTAGCCAATACTCATGGAATGTGGTAATGTTTGTCTTGGGCAAGAAAGAGAGATTTCAGCCTTATCTCATAATCCAGAGTACTTCATCTCCATACTAACAATATACTTTCAGGAAATATTTAAAAATTTACTGTTTTACTTTTATGGGGTAGGCTTTAATTCATATATATACAATTAAAGCAGTAAAATGTAAAGACTGTGTTGGAATAGCCATATATCTCTCGAGGCATAGCTATGAGGTGCAAAATCTACACCTACCATTCTTAAAGAAGCAAATATGCCCTTGGATAATGTGAATAGTAAAAAATTGTGTGGATTTTGATCAGCTTACTTTTGTAATTATTTTGCTATGGCTTTACGAACTAAGTACCCCAATCACCCTCACCGAGACGAAACTCAGACTAACCCCTGATTCAGTAGACCTGTGCCCGCACCTAACTTTGTGTGCCAGGCGTGGTTCCCCAAAAATGAAAGTGTAATTTACTTGCCATCTCAATCTTTAATTGCCATATGTATGGAAGGAAGAGTTGAGAAAGTATGTGGACCCTGACAGTATAAAATCCATCAGTGTTTTAGCTGTGCAAAGGCTCTAGGATCAGCTTGATATTCTAGTGCAGAGATGATATACTATGCTATCTCTAGAGCTTGCATGGAATGGGATGAACATACGTTGGTGTGAGTTGTGGTGGTTATAGAAATTGCCTGCAACATAGGAAGCCCCAGTTCAAGTCTCATCTCTGCTTCGGCTGTTGTGAAAAATATTCCTGTAAAATAGGATTAAGGAGACCAGAATTTGTGTCTTCTTCCACAGGCAAAGCTGTTAGTCATACCACCTTGCGCGGGGAATGTTTTGTTTCGTCTCCACTCCCTCGATTTAATCATTACAGTTTTGTGACAAGCAATATCTCTGCAAAATATTCCAGTTTCAGTCCTCTTGAAAACATTTACTTCAGCAGAAAGCAGTCAAACCAGCTCTTGTTATGTGCAGAATCTCATCATATCTGATGTTTCAGTAGCCAAAGGATACATGACACAATAAATTATAGCAAAGTGTTAAAAGTAGAACGTCTGCCTGGGTCCAAACTTTATTGATTTTACAAACATTCTTTACTCAATATCCAAATACTCCTTCTTTGAATGAGCAAAATGCCTCTACAAAGGGATGGGAATTTCTCTTGATTAGAGAATACAGAATTTTGGCCCAAGTTTTCAGGTATTTCCTCCTTATTAGATAACTGTGAAACCAGAACAGGGCAAAACAGCAAACCATAAATGTAACCTGATAAATCCAATTTTGCAAATGAAAGGGCTTTGCCTGAACGGGATTTAGAATTATATATATAAAAAAAAGTAAAAAGCAGCAAGTTTAAAAATTAAATTGCAAGTTTAAAAATTAAATTGCTTAAATAAAAGAGGAGGACCAATTTCACTCTTCTTATAATGCATTTTCCCCATATGTTAGCTGTAAGACTTGAGATTTTGGACCATATTGTGAATATCTTGTTTACCCAGGTGAGACACCTGGTTCAACTGGCTCTGGGAGTCAGACAGTCAGACAGCAGTGCTTACAAAATTAGTGAAGAACTCTTCCTTCACCCAGGCTTTTCCTACTGATACTGCTGTTCACAGTAATGTACTAGTTTGTCAAACTGCTGCAAAAGAAGCTAAAAGAATCCACAAAGTAAGTTTACTGAAATCAGTGGAATTACAAGTTTGGATTTGTGCCAATTTTCTTTTAGAAACTTATTCTTAATTGATGCTGCCTTCCTGATATATTTTTGCATATAATTTTTTTTTTTTTTTTTTACTCAGGTTAAACAAAAAGAATTCAACAATTTGGATGGCTTTAACAACAATAAGAGTTCATTTAAAATGAGATTTCTTATTAATCTATATATAAGTTCTGTACTTCTGTCCCAAACATATCTGATCTACAGATGAATAGGAAAGTAATGAATAAGAAATATAATATATTATTCCTGTATGATTTTAAAATCCTTTTTGTTTTTATATAGGTGCTACATTTGGCTGTTCACTAAACAATGTTAGCAGCAATTGGAAAAAAAAGTATATATATTTTCCCCATTTTGCATTATTCAGCATGCAGATTACCTTTCATCATTCAGACAGAAAACTGACAAGTTATACGCTGGTTAGGAAAAGAAATAAAAGGTGATTTTTTACATACCAGTCATAGTAAATCCACCAACTAGCAAGCCTATGTCTCTTCCACCAACTATAATAGCTTCGCTGCGATCTCCTTCGCTGCCAGTGTTCTTGGTTTTCCAAGCAGCCCATATCCCAACTGCCAGGATAGCCAGGTAGAATACAACTATGGCCACCAGCCCCTCCACATGGAAAGCCATGTTGAAGTCCCGACTGTTTCTTTGATCACTATTTCATTAAGACCCCTGGAGACAATGCAATAATACGTCTGTTTTTAACAAACCTGGTAAGATGCTTTTAGAATCAATGTACAAAGAAAACTCAGATGGTTAGTAAAGAGACTATTGTGGTGAATTTATGAAATTAATGTTTCGGATGTAATCAAAATTAAGATTACACACCAATTAAAATACCCATGGAGCAACAAGCAACAATTTTTACCTGCGACTACAATGGGAAACGAATGATGTGGCTGAAAGCTACGCAATTCTTATCAGTTATCAAGCACACAATTATTTTAGTGTCACCAAGTCCCCAGTGTCTAGGAACTCTTCAGTCAAGAAATAGTTTGGTACATGGAACAGGGTAGAAGATCTTGGCCGTGTGGGCTATTA